TTGCCTGATGGTTTTACAGACCCTCTTCTAGGACCCCAGAATTCCCCCAGAAGTACCCACCACCCATAAACTCTGCTACACCCTCCCGGGTTTCCTTGGGAGACCTTACTTAAGCATCCTGGGCCTCAGTTTCCTCATCTATAAAATGAAGGGATTGGACTAGATGACCAATAAAGTTCCATTCAGTCCTAAAGCCATGACCCAAGAATCCCAGGAATTCAAAACCAGATGATCTGAGTTTTAATTATATCTCTTCTTAGTTGTGTGACTTGCAGTGACTCAGACCCTCTCAGGGCCCATTTTTTCATCTCTAATAAGTGAGAGGGATGAAATAGGTGGCCTGGAAAGTGCCCTCCACCCTCAAATCTGTGATATTCTGCTCCTAAGTAAATGCAAAGGAATTTCAGTGAGGAGAAAACCCTTACAACTGGTGGCAGCCTCTGAGCTGAGCCTTGAATGAAGCTGGGGGTTCTAACAGGCAGGAGGGAGGAGAAGGTGCCAACTAATCTGAGGCATCAGCCTGTGCTGTGCAAAGGAATGGAGGTGGGAACAACAATGTCCTAACAAACTGGGCGGCCTCCTTCATCCTTCTTGGAGGTGACATGCTCACTTGTCAAGCATAACATTTGGGGCAGTCCTTCCTTCTTGTTTTGTACTAGATGATTCCCAAGTCATGAAATGCTATTTATTTCCTTCACTTGCAAACTCACATTTTCTTAAAATTATTTTAAACTTATCAAATTTCATAAATTTTATTTATTAATAATAAATAAAATTTTAAAGTTTAATTTAAATTCTTAAAAATATTAAAATATCTTTAGGTTTTAATAATTATATATAATGTGTATATATATATATATATACATGCACATATACATATATATGTATACATACAATTTGTATAGTGCTTTACATTTTCCAAAGTGTTATCATCTCTATTGGGGGATCTCATCATCTTCTCATCATCTCTCACCTGGACCATTGCAAGAGGCTCCTAAGTTATCTTTTTTTTCAAGTCACTCCCCAAACCAATCCATTCTCCACCCAGCTGCCACAATGGGTTTCCCAAAGTGTAGATCTAACAATATTACCCCCTGCTGTCAACCCCACTCAGTGAGCTCTGAGGACTCCCTACTGCCTCTGTGATCAAATATAAACTGCCCTGAAATTGATTGTTCTCCATAACCTGGCCTCATCCTGCCTTTCCCCTCCACCATCTACTCCTGAGGGCTATTCTGCCCACACCACACCCTTATCTCTTGACTCCATGCCTTGGCACTGGCTGTCCCCCAGGCCTCGAATGCCCTCCCTCCTCACTTCCACATGTTGGGATCTCTGGCTTCCTTCAAGATCCAGCTCCAATGCCACCTTCTCCAAGAGGCCCTTCCTGGTCCTTCTTCTTGGTGTGTATTTCATATGCATCTATTTATGAACATGGTATCCTCTTTTTCATTAGAATGTAAGCTCCTTGAGGGCCAGAATAATTTTTGCTTCTTTCTTTTATCTCCAACACTTAACTTAGTACCTGGCATATAGTAAGTGCCTAATAGAAACCTAGGTAGCTAGACGGTACAATGGGTAGAGTGTTGGGCTTGAAGTTAGGGGGTCCTGAGTTCAAATTTGGCCTCAGACACTTTTTAGCTAGGCAAGTCAATTAACTACTCTTTTCTTCAATTCCCCCATCTATAAAATGGGGATAATGATATCACCTACCTCCCAGATTTGTTTTTGAGATTAAATCAGATGACATATATGTATGTATATATTTACACATATGTTAATAGTATTTTATTTCTTCCAAATTATATGTCAAGATAATTTTTAGTATTCAGTTTAAAAAGATTTTTAAGATCTTAATTTTTCTCCCTCATGCCTTCCCAACATCATATCTTCCTAAAATGGTAGGCAATTTGACAAAAAGTTATACACATGCTATAATGCAAAACATGTTTCTATGTTTGTCACAGTTCTAAAAGAAGAAACAGATCAAAGGAGAAAAACATGAAAAAGAATAAAGAAGGCAAAAAATGTACTCTCTGATCAGCATTCAGAGTCCATCAGTTTTTTATCTGGATATGAATATCATTTTCCTTTGTGAGTCCTTTGTACTTATCTTGGTCAGCAACATTGTGTTGCTGATGAGCTGAGTCATTCAAAGGTGATTATCACATAATGTTGCTGATATTGTGAATGTTTTCCTGGTTCTCCTCATTTCACTTTGCATCAGTTCATACAAATATTTACAGGTTTTTCTTAAATATTCCTGTTCATAATTTCTTATTGCACAGGAATATTCTATTACATTCATATACCACAGCTTGTTCAGCTATTCCCCAATTGATGAACATCCCCTCAATTTCCAATATTTTGCCACCATGAAAAGGGTTGCTATAAATATTTTTGCACATGTAGGTCCTTTTCCCATTTTTATGATCACTTTGCCATACAGCCCAACAAGTACTATTACTGGGTCAAAGGGTATGCACAATTTTATTGATCTTTGGGTATGGTTCCAAATTGCTCTCCATAATGGTTGGATCTGTTCATAACTCCACCAATAGTGCATTAGTGCTTCAATTTTCCCACATCTTCTACAACATTTATCATTTTCCTTTTTCTGTCATATTAGCTAATCTGATAGGTGTGAGGTGATACCTCAGAGTTGTTTCTATTTGCATTTCTGTAATCAAAAATGATTTAGAACACTTCTTCATATGCCTACAGATAGCTTTGATTTCTTCATCTGAAAATTGCTTGTTTATATCCTTTGATCATACTTCAATTGGAGAATGACTTGTATTCTTATCAATTTGACTCAGTTTTCTACATATTTGAGCAATGAGGCCCTTTATCAGAGATACTTGTTGTAAAGATTGTTTCCTAGCT